ATCACAGAAAACTGTATACAAAAATATATTTTTTACCTTCATTATCGAACTTCCGATAAATTATCGTTCAAAGGTCATCTTCAACAGAGCCATACTTGTTTCAAGCATAGGTTTCATCAATTTATTAAGTCATTCAAGACTGTAGATTCTTTGTTTTTAATCTCTCTCAATCTAACTGCTAGCATGGTCTTGGTTTCAAAATGTCCACACTTTTAATCGACAAAAGAACTTTGCATAGATCCCTGCTTTTTCCCATATTGGTCCATATTATTGAAGTACTTCCAATAAAGTATCATCTCTTTCTTGTTGTCGAAATATCAAAGTAAAATCCTTTTTTCTAATATCACTTTTAAGATGGGCCTAAATTGCTTTTCATCTTCGCAAATCAATTTCCCGGATGTGCGGACGCGTCGAAGTTATGACAAAATTGGCCGAAATATTTCTGTGCTGTTATTTCACTATTCAGTGGATTTTCTCCATGTGATTAATTGTTCTAATATTATCAATATGTAATATAAATGTTTAAGGAAATTTCGATTTTTCAACAAATACTTGGCGCTTTGTTTCCTTTTCGAGCGGAGTATGGGTTTCCTGTGGTGGTACACGGAATCCAGGACGGAAACGTGCGTACGCACGGGAACCCTGTGTCGGTCCATGGAAAATCGACTCGATATATGGTATACCATTTTTTCTTAGCTATGGTGCTCCGCTCCGNTTTTCGGTGTCTCTCAAATTGCTGGAAATCGCGATTCCAAGAGTTATTTCTTTCAAATTTCGAAAAAAATTGAACATTTTCTGGGGGAGGACCAGACTCCCTTAATACTCATGCCTTTGTTGTTCGTTAGACCCCCAGATCCAAAATATATGTCGCGGTCCCTGACATGTGCATAAAAAGTCCACGCTACGCGCCTGACTAATGGAAATCTAAATTCAAAGACTCGTTGATATTGTGATTGAAATTGACCAAAATATGAATTTGTTTTCAACTATTGATGTTTTCAATTTTGTCACATAAATTGAGGATGTAGTTTTCACATAAATWGAAGATGTAGAAGCTGAAAAACATATTGATGATTTATTAGACATAACAAACACAAGTAATATCAAAGTCGTTTTTGACCATAAAAAAACGTTACATAAGCCTTTTTGGACCTTGAAAACCTTTACCAGGAACAAAATTATTTGAAAGAAGCAAGGTCACACATTTGCTTGTCAACTCCTCCTGAAAGTTTTTGTCTTTACCCCTTAGATCGAGAGGGGGGTAAGAGCTATTTTCTTGTGCTTCGGAGGGGGGGTTCTAACTAATTTTCTGCTTAAGAAATCTGGTTCTACTGCCCCCCCTCCTGATAATTATTGCACAGTCCCTAAAGCCGAATGACACGTCACTTAAAAAAATACTTTCTTTCAATAGTGCAGGTTACTACCTTCTTCTTTTTCTCTTAGTTATCTCTCTAATTCTCTCTAGTTATCTGAACGCAAAAATACAATAAAACAGCAGTGTACATATTCATCCTTGAAGTTTATTGACAAACCATGCATTGGAATCATCTTTATGGTACTTTTTTGGCTAGGTTAACGCCATTCGCAAGTATCGTCTGACCATAATCGATGTCTAGAAAACAGGTTAAAAATTGTAACTGAAAAACATTAAGCCAAATAAGAACCAGTGAAGGCAAGAGGGGGGTTGGCCCACCAAATCCACCTCTCCTCCTCCTCACCCTTCCTTTCTGCATAGAGTTGACATTTTGTAGAATACAAAAGAATAAAAAGATAAAATAACAGAACTTTTTTCATGTGCTCGAGCACTCGAGGGTKTGGATATCTGGAAATTCCACCCTGAACCAACCAACCTATCATAATGTCGTTCTTYAAAGCATTAGGAATTTGCATCTTTTYCCAAACCGAGACTAACCCTGTATTCCCAGAAGACCAAAGATTTACCGACCTATAGTAATTACAACGTTTTTTTTCGCKATTTCTTTTGTTTTCGTTAAGGTCTTGTTTSTTCTGTCAAATAAAACTGCGCTTATTCTCTATCAATTCGAAAATTTATCTATTTCTCAATCCATCCATCTATCAAATAATTAATTGATGAAATATTAATCCATAAAACTAATCATCAGGCTGTTTCTTGTGTTTGCATTGATGTGTACAGTTTTGGTGTTAAACGACGCATGGATACTTACTTGCAGTACATTCCCAGCTTGCAGTCAAGATCTATTCTACAAGGCATTCCTCGTATTGGTTCTGACTGTCTGGTCGTTCACACATTTCATTAATGTCAGATCCACTTGTCGCATCACTGATTACAAAAATAATCCCAGGGTTGGAATCCGTAAACGACGATTACCCCAGTTCGAAGTGAATTTTTCTTTTTTCTTTATCCAAATTGGATCATATCAAAGTCATTTTATACAAAAGCTTGTATCTACTTCCGGTGAACACGCCCCAAACAATGCCCCACTATAGATAGCATCCGATTTGAACCTTTTTGCTTATTTATTCAGAATCGGCTCTAAAATGTCGATTATCACCACTCGATTTATATAAAAAGTAATATTTAAGCTTTAGGAAAATCGTATTTTTTTTTGGAAAAAGTATAAAAAATAAGAAAGTCAAAATTCGATTTTCTTAATCAAGGTTGCGTGCCTACACAAGACGTTTTGAACTCTTGTAACCACCTTAAATTTGGGTAGTGCAACCTGTCCGTCCGTACTCCTTTATGCATGCCTATACTGTAATATTTTCGCAACATTCGAAAAGAGCAGCACATTTGCTAGATTTTGATGCGTAATTTGCCTATTAAAAGTTTAAAGGCCGATTTAGACGTTACAACTTTTGCCTACAACCATCGCATGAAAGCTATTGCGTCATCCTTGCGACACGACGTAAGCCAGAATAACACGCCTATGCATGATATTTTGTCTATCACTCGCCTAAATCGCGCACGACTCATTGTTCAAACTTTCACAAAAAAATGGCATAATTGCAACACTCCTTACTAGCGTTTTTTTAAAGTAGTCTTTGTGTCTTTAATAGGCCATTTGCATGATGGCGTAACTTTACTACAACTACCAGAAAGCCTTGCGCATTTTCTTTGTTATTCAGATTTTTAATCCCCTTAGCGATTAGTAAAACAATTGGCACTAATTGCATTACAAAAGAAAGTGGACAAAGCATTCTGGTAGTTGTAGTAAATGACGCCATAATGCAAATTNTAAAGCACTAAAAGGTGGAAAAAACTTGAAAAAAACTTTCTATCGTACTTCCTTATAAGGTAAGATTACCATATATAGTCAGCAAAAGTTCTGCAAACGAATGAATGTTTTTCGGAGGCAATTGTTTGATATGGTATTCTTCCATAATTCAAGCWRCCAACTTAAGATTACAAGAAAGTTAGTTGATCCAAAATATCTCCAATGAACACTTTTGATTCGGCCGTTATCCAATGAAAATYAAAGGGTTGATCACTCATCGATTGAGCAAACTGGACAGAGACAAGATCGTTTTACCACAGGAAGCCCAAAGCTCAAAGCTACGGACAATAAGCCAATCAGCTTGTTAATTTTAACGTCAAGAAACGAGAGACGATTAATAATCCTATCCAAACTGAAGATGGCTTTATGAAAGTTGAAAACATGTCTTTGAAACTCAAAAGTGTTTTGTCCCCTGTCATTTTTTAAAAAAAATATTGCATCTAACTTGTGTTTTTACACTCACTTGTAATCAGAAACATTTAAAAGTAAATTGTAAAGATGAGAGTGCAAATTAACATGTATTGTATTGTACTAGTCACCAATCATCCGCCTGGATGGTTGAATTATCGAAGAATACTCTTTTTGGTNTAATTAATTGATGAAATATTAATCCATAAAACTAATCATCAGGCTGTTTCTTGTGTTTGCATTGATGTGTACAGTTTTGGTGTTAAACGACGCATGGATACTTACTTGCAGTACATTCTCGGCTTGCAGTCAAGATCTATTCTACACTGCTTCTTGCCTAGATAGCGTTTATACATTCGTCTTCCTTCCATGTCAGATTCACTAGGCATGGCACTGCTTAGAAAAGACACCACAAATCAAATACCTTTAATGCAGAAATTGTAAAAAGTGGGTCTTACCTTTTTTATGCAAATGAGGTATTTGGAAAAATACCTGACTTTCAATTTAACGACAAAGGAATGYACAATAAATAATCGTGTTRTACAGAGTGTTTTTGGTTGAAGAATGAAATAATAGTTATAATATTTGAATTATTTCATGTTAGCTCTTTTGTTCTACTGTTCAAATCTATCACTATTTTGCACAATTCAGGAACTAGTGTTCCATGCTTTTGATTAAGACACTCTAATCATTAAAAAATATGTCTAACTTTTCGATGAAAACGTCTGAAATAAGAATGTGTTACTCACAAGGCCACACTGACAGCTAACATTACCAACAGGGCAATTACTAAAAACTTCTTCATCCTGAAAAAATTCAACTATGATAAAAAGGTTAGTAAAAAATGATAAAAAAGGGATATTGGAGATTTAAGAAAATTCATTTCATCATTTGACACATATCTACAGCTAGCTCTGTTTAATGACTTCTGACATTATGTCTACTACGTAACCAACAAAGTGCAATGTACTTTAGATTAGACAATACAAAACAACTTATAAGCATTACTTAATTCCTTGCTATTTTTCATAAAATAGATCTTACCTCTGAATAGATGTCGTGGCTCTTTTGTGGACTGAGCGGTTTGGAATGAAAAAAGCATGTTCATCACTCATTTTTATAGTGAAATTGCTTCGTATCGTGCTGAAAATGTTGAATTTAGTCAATGAAGCATTCATTTCACTATCAAAGCATAAAAAAGAAAAAGAACGCAACATCTGTCTCTCACATAAGAACGTTTGTTATCCTAAAGAACTAAATATAGGGACCGCGGAGCGTGAATTTGTTTGGCGGCGGGGGGCGGGGTGAGGTACTAGGGTGCTTCGGAAATTTTTGAAATCTTAACTCTCGGAAATGTCATTTCCAGCGTTTTGAGGCGTTATCAAAGTCATTTTTACCGCACACACGGTCAGCGATATTATCAATAAATCCTAAAGTCTTCCCAGAAAAGCTTCAATTTTAATTGTTCACGCTCAGTTTTTACACAATTTTTATAGAATATATATGGTAAAATTTCATAAGGAGCCTCTTCGCTTCTTTATTTAAGAAAATTCAAAATGTCGCCCCCCCTGCTCCGCGGTCCATGAAACACTTTTGCAACTGTTCCATCTATTGCCAAATTTTCGTAAAACCAAAAGCACCAACAACAAAATAACAACAGCATCTGCNCCACTGGGTCCGTGAATAGTCTTTAAGTATAATTTGGATAATTGTTAAGCAACACTGGTTGCTTATAGGACCATAGGGTCCGTGAATATTCTTTAAGTATAAATTGGATAATTGTTAAGCAACACTGGTTGCTTATAGGACCACTGGGTCCGTGAATAGTCTTTAAGTATAATTTGGATAATTGTTAAGCAACACTGGTTGCTTATAGGACCACTGGGTCCGTGAATAGTCTTTAAGTCTAATTTGGATAATTATGTTAAGCAACACTGGTTGCTTGAGGATCACTTGGTCCGTTAATAAGCTATAAGGATAATGAGGATAAGTTGTTAAGCGACACTCGGTGTAGATAGGACCACTGGGTCCGTGAATACTCTTTAAATACAATTATGATAATTTTGAAGCAACACTGGTTGCAGATAAGACCGCTGGGTTCGTTAATAAGTTACTGGGATAATTAATGAATACATAACCTAGTGTGTAATTAAGTTCGGTTTGAATAAACTTTACATGTTGATAATAATTGAGTACTGATGCGGTTGATTTGTTTACTTTGTTTTACAAGGGGCRACAGTATTAAAGGAACAAACGAGATATCTAACCGACCCAAGTTTGAAAGARCTAGCTGCTGGTTTACCTCTGAGGTGCATAGGCGCGAAAGCTCCGTCGACAACTGATAGATACTCGAGAGGTTTTGAGAAATTCAAAGTGTGGGTCAGGCAATTTAAAGATCTTTGTTCCCTTCCAACGGACAGTTTAACAGTGTGTCTTTACATAGAATATCTTATCAGGTCCGGCGCAGTGTATTCAGCAATAGAGACGGCCTATTATGGCATYAGGTGGGCCCACAATGTGTATAATTTGCAAAACCCATGTGAAGCACCGATTGTGTCAAATATGCTGGAATCTGCTAAGCGGTCTCTCGCCAAGCCAGTRAATAAGAAGGAACCAGTCACACCAGAGATGATGTGTAAGATCTGTAAATTGTACGCAAGTCCAACTGCTAGTGCGGCGCAGTTACGCACAGCAGCTCTCTGTATTTGTGCGTATTTAGGCTTTCTTCGTTACGATGAACTTTCTAGTATGCGGTGTTGCGACGTAAAATTGTNGGGAGGTACTAGGGTGCTTCGGAAATTTTTGAAATCTTAACTCTCGGAAATGTCATTTCCAGGGTTTTGAGGCGTTATCAAAGACATTTTTACCGCACACACGGTCAGCGATATTATCAATAAATCCTAAAGTCTTCCCAGAAAAGCTTCAATTTTAATTGTTCACGCTCAGTTTTTACACAATTTTTATAGAATATATATGGTAAAATTTCATAAGGAGCCTCTTCGCTTCTTTATTTAAGAAAATTCAAAATGTCGCCCCCCCTGCTCCGCGGTCCATGAAACACTTTTGCAACTGTTCCATCTATTGCCAAATTTTCGTAAAACCAAAAGCACCAACAACAAAATAACAACAGCATCTGCATCTTGCACAGGAATTTTAGTATCCAAATGAACTAGCGTCTTTTCGTCTAGCCCTATTCTTTCAATAAAGATAACATTTGCAGCTTGGACAAGGTGGTTTGTTATTCCATTTATCTCTCTTACAATATAAGCTTTACGCAGGGAAAGATGCTTGTCCTAATAGATAGGTTTGATGAACTGTCGGCACTAAAATAGTATTCATATTGATTAATTTCTTAATACTGAAAAGACAACATACGCATATCTCAGGAAGACAGATGTCTGCTCCTAATAATCAGCTTTTACTTCTTCTTCCTGCTGAGAAAAGAACATCTGAGTTTGTACAGGAACTTTTCTTGTCCTAATGAAGTGCTATCTTTCTGTTAATCTCTTTTTAAAGAATAAATTCTAACGTTTGCGTCTGTAACTTGTAGTTTAAATAAAAAAATAAATGTTCGTTTATCGGTATTGTGTCACAAAGACCTGCTAATCAAAATATTTCACTCATGAACTCAGCACAGTAGATGATATTATGAAATGCGGAYAATGAAATTTCTACATCTTACACAAAACCGCTTTTCTTCCCAAAAAAATGTCTCTGCTTCTACTTACTCTTGTCTTTTAATTCTAAAATGGCACGATCTGCACTCTTGAATGCGTCTATTTCTAACTAAGACAATATAACAGTATCCTATAGTGCACACTCCTTGTATTACTCTTATTAATAAAAATTGCAAAGTCTGCATCTTGCACGAGATAGTTGATAAATTGTTTGTGCCTCCTCATACTCTTGTAACAATGCGCTAAAGAACTACTCTATTTTTCTTCGGCATAGCAAGTTCCCAATGTACGAATGTCTTGGTTTTCACACTAATTATATATTAACCTGTGGGTAACACATTTTTGAAATAAAATGTGGATAAACTCTATTTTGAAACAAAGTTTCTTTTGTATTAAAAGCTCTTATCCAATCATAAGAACTCAAAACAATAGCCAAAAGATGCTTCTAATTTGCAATGTTCCCCACATAGAATTGTCTTAATATTGAAGCTAAAGAAAGCTTTCATGAAAGCGAAAACAGACATAAAATAAAATATTAGAAAATTCGCTAACTTGTGAAATTATAGCAGATTTTCATGTTTTAACCAATGGGATGGATGAATTATACAATGTGCAATTAGCACCTTCTTGCATTCCTKTGCCGTTTGCTTCCCTAGTTCTTACTCGGGCCATTACTTAAATGGCAAGACCTGTTTTTTTTTTCCACATTGGACACATTTCCTATTATAATCAACKGTTGCMTCTATGTGTCARTCTTGAGTCTAAAGAAACTKCTGCTGGTACATAGTTCATTGATCTTATTGATACTAAAAGAGCAGCATGCGTGCAATGCAAACGAGCCTTTGTTATACCAACAAATTAATTATCTTTTCATGTCCATTCTTTATAAAATAGTCCATCAACTTCTGTATTAACAAGTAGAACATTAATTTGGTATCCTAATAAACTGCCATCTTGCCTGTCGTCTTTTTTTCTTCTAAAAGGAAAACAAGTTCATTATACTATAGCAAATATTTGTTTGTTGGTTGGCTTAGGCATATCATTGATCTTGTTTCATCAACCAATAAGTTATTTTATTACCAATCTTTCGGGCCTTAGGCCCATCATCAGGGTTAATGGAGTCAACACTAAAAAACGTTACAAATCGGCCACTAAGTTCATTATAGTCAGGAGGAGCCGACGGGGTCTGTTCTTTTAGATGACTGTTCCTGTACAATTTTCCTTGGAAAGGGATTTTGAGCAATAATGTTGACAATCTCACAAGCAAATATGGCGTCCATCCTACTGGAAAATGATTTTGTTCCTGGCAACCCATGGCAAACGTTTTTAAGTTTAAAAAAACTGCTTATATAAAATTATTGAAATT